AGAGCAATGGCACAAGGGAAAAAACTATTCCGATATCTAGATGTTTTAACATATGGTGCTCCGTAGCGCTGTCCTGAAGGAAGAAGTTGGAACAGTTTAGATTTCAATAGACATCTTCCCTTGACCATCTCACTTTTCCTTTCCCACCTCAGCTGAGACCCCACTATTTCTAAGTCCTGGAATCAAATCTCACAGGCCTTTCGTCATAAAAGAAATCCCATCTAATGGATAAACTGGTGCATCTGTATATTGAGGGAATCTCCCAGGGTATAGAAATGACTGTGATTTTTGAGTGGTCTCACTTCCATTCTAAACAGATAGGCATTTATCCATCTGCATTTGCTATTAATATAAATGGATTGCATGTTAAGCAGCCACAGATGATGCAAAACGTGCTTTAAGTTTTCAGACAGTTGGAGGAAATGATTTAGATGGCTATAGTCAGAGTTTAATTTGTGTCAAAAGTTCATCAGGTTTGGACCTAGGACTTGTTTTCTAAATCACCAGTGCTGGGTGGAATATATTATGAAAAAGGCAATTTTCTCTTCTTGTTGAGCAATAACAAGGCACATCTCGCCTATTTGTTTTTAAGAATTAAGAGGTTCCACCAGAAATTGTGTGAATCCCTTATTGGTCTGAGGTCTACAAATTATTTTAGCAAAATGGACTCTTGGGGGTATTTTGATAATAATTAGTATTTTGATATAATTAGTATATTGCCTGTTGGGGAAAATTTTTAGGGGCAACAAAAATATTTAGCTGTCACAGTGATTGAAGAGTAGGGTGACATGCTGTAGAAATGATAGCCCAATTTCATCTTTGTGTTTGGAGTTGTGAAAGAGATTATACTGAAAAAAAATTACTGGCCTGTTGAGCTCACCCAGTGGTTGGGTTCACAAAACATGCCAGATTAAAATAGGATTGGGTAATTTGGGTAATAATTCAGCACACTGTGGTTTCCCACCATTAGGTCAGCATGTTGTGTGAACCAAGTTAGGACATCCACAGAGGAAGTAAAACAAAAATTGTGGCTGCAACCATCCAGTTGAAGCTCCACCCCTTTTTACATAAAAGAGGTGGGGCTTTGATTAGATGATCATGACTGTCATCTTGACTTCCTACCCCCCCAGCACCCTGGAAGCAAGCCATCACATAATAGGGAAAATTTGTTTGAAAAAGCTTCCTGTACAAACCTACATATTTGGGTTTTTTTAATCTGGGTTTAGGATTAAATATGTCCTCTGAATCTAGCCAATGAGTTATTTGTTATCCAAACTAGTGTCTTCAGATGTGTTGGAACATCCATCATTTCCAGTCAGCATATAATAATAACAACAATAGTAACAACAACAACAATACATTTAGCTCATCCTCATTCTAGTTTTTCAGGATAATGAATACAAGAGTTACTCATTTTATGTTCACAATCAGGGAAGTTAAGATGAGAGTGTGTGTGAGTGAGATTATCCAGTGTATTGTATAATTCAGCAGGCTCCTGAATCAATTTTGCTTTCAGTCCATTCAATCCTTCAACAGATGCATTATGACAAAACCAGATATTACAAATATTACATGTACTTTGCCATATGGCTTGAGCTACACATATGGCAAAGCTTCAATAAAGGTTTGTTAAATAAACCACAATGGCTGGTTCACACAACATATTAAGTCCTTTCCAGGCAAACTACATCATGAATTTCTTGAGCTGTGTGAACCAGGAAGGACTAGTAGAGCCCTTTTACCCTGTGGAACACACCAGCCACCAGGGAGTCAGGTAGTGTTACTACCATTTTTGTATATAAAATGATGATTTCAGAATATCTGGAATATCTTGATTGGGAATATCTGATCAGCAGACACATACCAAAGGCTTGCAAGGAGCTGAAATGGAGTGAAATAGAATGGGTTGCATAATGCCTGGTTGGATCCCACATCCAGGATCCAATCCTGGAGAATCTGATTCTGGTCAGTGAGATGGATGCTTTTCAATGCCCATTTTCCTTCAGGACAGCCCTTTTGTAGGACTGAAGCAAGCTCCTTTCCTGGATTTCTCAGTCTTCTGTGCAATGTCTGAATCATGCCCTTTGTTATTAATTGCTTTGTCATAGTTAATGATTTTATAATCATTGAACTTGGTTAGGTGTTTCAAATCAGTTTCTAGTTAATACCTAATCTGGCCTTATGTATATAGTCCCAAGACTGCAACAGCTACCGTCAAGATATTCTTTCATCTGTGCTTGTGTGACATCCAGTGGTGAATTATTTAAAGAGGCCAGCCTGCCTGTACAGAAGCAGCGATGCCTTTGAGGACTTTAGTGCACCCTTCCTAATGCAGCATGGTGCTGGCAGGTTGTACATACAGTACAACTGAAATAAGGCTGTGCTGCAAAGATTATTGAAAAACACCGATTTCACATTGTTTTCAAAAGAAGCGTGGAATAATTGACAGTTTCTCGAATGACACTCATTGCAATGGGAGACAGCGCAACTCTGGAAGGAAACGATCCTTCAGTCGAACCATGCCACCCATCCTGCTCCTGCTAGTCTTTGCTCTGCCACCTGGAAGGTCCCATTAATCATTCAGCCCACATTCTTCCGCTCTCATATTTATAAAAGCATCCATCAGCTAATGCAGGGGTGCTAGCAGGAAGATGGTTAAGAAAGTCAATATGGCAGCCACAAGCATTGCAATGCAGATCAAAAACAGCAAGGCTTCAATTATGTACTGTAGTGGTGGCATACTGCCATCTTGACTTTTTTGACCCTCCTCCAAGCACACCTCAGAGTTAATGCTTAGGACTCCTAGCTTAAATCAGTAGATTAATTAGTTCAGTGTTTACAGTTGAATCCTATGCATATATTCTTGAAAAAAGTCAGGGCTATTATATCTGGGCTCCAAAAATAATACAAATGCAAGCAACAAACAAATCAATAAGCAGATTTCTAAACTTAGGCCCCCTTTGGTGGCCTCAACCAGGTTAAAGTCCGGTCATCTGGACTCTAAGCCACTAAGATAGTTGAAGGCTGCTTTAAACCTTTGTTAGCTTCTCACTGTTTTAGAATTACTTCTCAGTAAATATAGTAGTGCCATGCACAGTTTTGCAAAGCAGTGACTGTTTCATTAAATATTGTCCCTGTTAGAAGAGACATTAGGGAACAAATAAGCATGTTTTGCTTTAACACTGAAGAGTAGCAGAAATATAAAACCTCAGGTTTGTGATGCATTTAGGTAATTTTAGAATAACTTAATGTCACATGAAATGACAATACCTAATCAATATTGGCTGGACTGAAAAAAAAAAAACCTGGGCAGAATTGGAACTGATTTGACCTTGGATGGAGACCAGTAGGAAATCTCAGGGGCTGTAAACTAGACTGGGAAGTCAGAAAATATCCAATAAGTCAGCAGCAAGCCCCTTCCATACTGTTGTCAACAGAGTGAGCTTAATTTAAGGAAGCCTTCAACTTTTACCTTATTGTCTTATGGAAGCCACCCCTCCATTTTTTTTTTTTTTTAAATGCAAGAAGTTGCACCTGGGATCTTCTGCTGCTTCTACTGGTGGGACAACTGCCTGGAATTGCATATTTCTAAAATAATTATTCTCCCAGTGCATTTCTTAGATCACTATGAAAAAGTATCAAAGACATTGCATTGACTTCGGTATACTTTGCAGTCTTTTCCCCCAGTGTGATTTTGTGTGGACATTTCTTGAGGCCAGCAGATAAAGTTGAAAAGGTGACCTTATCTAAGTGAACAGGGAAGAATCAGAATTTATCCAGAAGTTAAAAGTATAATTACTTTTAAATCAACATCTGCTCCATCTTATTGCATGGCCATAAACTCTTCCATTTTATTGTTACATGACTTTCTATAAATATCTAGTATTTTAATGGATGCATCCTCCAATTCTTTTAAAATAAGTATCAGTGAGCTAGATTTGGCCGCAGAGAGGCTTTGAGTTCAGGGCTGTAAGCCAAAGCTTACCAGTCAGGGCAAGAGAAACAACAGCTGTGCCACTCACACTGGTGAATAAGAGAAAGTCTACAGGACTACCATGTCATACCAAGGACTGCTTTCCCTTACTGATGGCATAACAAATTTTAAGCTGCTTGGAACAAGTTAATACTTGATCATGGCAACAAGCACCAATCTACAAGGATTTAATCTGGAAGAAAACAAAGATAATGTCTGTGAAACTGTCCTTGGTGAGATTAAATACTTGGAGCTGCCTTTAGGAATCACTTTAGGGTAAGTACCATATTGCAAGGAACCCTTTTATTCTACTGATTCCTTTTCCCAATTTTTGCTTTGCTTATTCATTTATTTATTCTTGCTACAAAATGCTGAGCTATTGCACCGTTCCTACGAACCTCAGTGGGAGTTAGACCTGTTCCTAAAGTAGCCAGTTCAAAATGACATCTCAAAATTGCAACACAGTGCTTGGTTACAAGGAAATACATTTTCCTCCATTAGGTTCACAGCGTTGATGTTTAATTAAATTAAAAGGGTGTTCTTTCATCTCTAAGAATTTATTTGGCTTTCTCTTTTGAGCCAGTTTTGCTGATGGCAGATTTGTGGTGGGATTAAAATGTATACCAGTCAAATTATGTCCCTTTTTGTTATTCTAAACCACCCCCACTCCCTACACGTAGCTCTTTTTTATTAAAAGTTGTGTCTGCTGCTAATCATAACTTATGGAGTAAAGTACAGAATTGTCTGATATTCATAATAGCAAATTAATTTATTACATGTTAAGATGCAGCAACCTGAAATAAAGAGGAAAATATTTGTATTTTCATGGTCATTTTATATATTAAATTACAAGGCATGACCCTCAAGTTTATTTTTAGTACCTGACAGAGTATTTTAAAATAGCACAGTGTTACTTTGCATATCAGTTGACTGGAGAAATTATATTTATTCAAAGTCATGGTCCCAGTGATTTTTCCTCCTGTAATATACAGTATATACAATATCTTATAATATGAATAATGGGGTGGGGGGAACATTTTAATCATTTTCTGATCAAACCAAACATTGTAGCTGTAGCAATACAGTGGCTGCACTTTTCATTCTGGAAGGAAGAAAACTCTTTAACTTTATACTCTACTAATTTTAATTGTTTCCTTCTGTTTTCACTTTTGTCATCTGGAAAGAACCAGGTTAAATGCAAACTAGGTTAGAATAGTTGGGCCTTATTTGCCCAACTATTTGGGTTTCTATCTCACAATATTTACATCAATTGGAAATCATATATGTAGATCAGTGTTTCTCAACCTTGGTCACTTGAACATGCGTGGACTTCAACTCAAGGTGTCTACACATCTTCAAGTGACCAAAGTTGAGAAACACTGATGTAGATATGAAGTGTCTCATATTGTTGGTATGTTGAACTTTATACCATCCTAATATGAATTAAAACAAAAAAGGAACAACCCAGAATAGTTAATTTGCCCAGAGATTGGAGAGTGAAAGGAAGCATATTCTGGCTTCATCCACTGGCAGAGGACAAAGGAGAATTGGTTCCCTGGTCCCAGGAAGAACATCATTGGAAGGAGGCCAGCTTGGCCCTCATATTGGCCAGAGAAGGAGCAGCTGCAGGCATCTTGCTTCAATCTTCCCTGCCAGGTAGATCTGTCAGCTCCTCCTGGCCCAGCCCCAGCCCCAGCCATTGGCCAAAGGAACAAGAGCTACAACTGATCATTCAAACCAGAGTTCCAGGATAGGAAGACTAGCTTAAGTGGAACTGTAGAGAAATGCCACCCTCCCTCTTTTCTGTCCTCATACCTTGTCTTTGAGGTTGTGACTCTCACAGCATAGCCGCTCTCTCTCTTCAGTTAATAGGAGCCAGTCTAAAAAACAATGATTATTAGAAAAACAGGGTAATAAAAGTACAGTAAATCAAATTCAATAAAACAAAACACAATTATCATCATCTCAAGGAAGACAGACTATGGTCATGGAAAGCTCTGGATTATGGAAAAAGGGAGAGAGGAGGTAATGAAATACGTACCCTGAGAAGTGCTGGCTTGCTGGCCCCCCTCCCAAAGAGAAAAGCGTAGCGTGCAATGTTTTTATTTCATGGTCCACCTTGTGTCAGAGCAGGGGAGGTAAGCAGAATTCGACCTGGTTAGCACTTGGAGGGGAGTATACTAGGGGATCTCAGAGCCATAGGCTAGATTGGGAAATGTAAAAAAAGCTGAAGAAAAAGGCTGCAAGGTATGGTAAAAACAAGTCATGATGGTGGTCATGAGGGTGAAACTGAAGCTCTGCCTGTTTTTCATGTGTACCATACGTAAAATGCACGTAAAAAACAGGCAGAGTTTGATGAAGCTGTTGTGGCTGCCATCTCGACATTTTGACCACACCTTGTGGACATCTTTGAAAAAGGGAAAGGTCAGCTGCTTCCATATCATCCCCCAAAAATGATGTGGACGTATCCATGGAGTCACGAGAGGTCACAACTGACTCGATTTAATTTATCTCCAGGTTCTTTATATAATTTTTAAAAATCCACCTGAGGACCTCCCAACTTCTGGCTACATCCTGATTATAATGTGCATATATAATATGTTTGGTCATGTTCAAAGAATGCAGTTTCTTAGGGAAAAAAAGGTGGAATTGTATTTCCTTTTCTTTAGAATGTGTTTCTCCTTCAGAAGAAGATACTGTTGACTTAAAATTAAAAAAAAAACTCATTTTTTAAAAAGTGTTTCCAGTATTTTAATTAATTACTTTATCACCCTTGCAGGAATTCAGTTATGCTGAGCAGGTGAAACTGGTGCAAGATCCTCCAGTAAAGTTTAACCAGAGTGTAGAAAACCTTTGGCTATCCAGATGTTGAATTACCACTTCACACCTCTGGAACTTCAGCAACATTTGGCCAGCTGCTGGTTCCTCTACACCCCTCCTGTAACTGCTAAAACTTGCTGGCTTTCTTCAGAAGGGGCTCTTACACCAGGACAGGACAAAAAGGGGTACTTCATACCAGTGTTTCTCAACCTACCCAACGGACTTCAACTCCCGGAATTCCTCCAGCCAACATGCTGGCTGGGGAATTCTGGGAGTTGAAGTCCACACATCTTAAAGTCGCCACGGTTGAGAAACGCTGCTTTACACAATACTCCCTTTTCATTCCAAGGGGAAAATGCATAGATTAGTTTGCATACGGTCTTCCAAGGTACTTTTACAATACAGACTGACAGCCCCATATGTTCCGGACTACAATTCCCACCACACACCCTCAACTGGGAAGGAGCATGGGAGTTGTAGTCTGACACAGCTGGAGGCTACCAAGTGAGGAAAAGCGCCCCGGACGCCAGAAGCTCTGAAGGTCG